TCCTTCCACCAGAGACTTGGGATCCTCTCCCTCTCTCGCTTGTTTGTAACCCCTACTGCAAACCAAGTGCCGGTAACACGAGCAACAGCCAACTGGACGTAGGGACGTTCCGCTCGAACCAGTATAAACCCTTGTGTCCTCCGAGCACACCATCCGAGCCAGACGCGCAAATACAAATTTACTCATCGATGGTCCGAAAACACCGACACCCGCGTAATAGGGGAGCCTGCCCGCCACACCCGAGTCACCATGCGGGGTCTCATCCTCGCTGCGCCCATATAACTGCGGCATGGCTCGCAGCAAGCCAATCGTTCTCTACAGCCAGGTTCTGCATCTCCCCACGCTGTTCCACAAGCTTATGCTTCAGGACCTCCGTGGGGTAGCATGTCGTAGGGGAACGGCCGCGTACGTCAGCTTCCCAGCCGTGGGGCAGCGGAGGCAGCATGTCCGCTACAACTGCCCCCAGCTTACCAGCCGCCGCCGCCATGGCTCCTACGCTAGCTCTCTTTTCCTCGCTCGACAACCCTACGTCTAGATCTACCTTTGCATGACTTAGATAAAACACTTGCAACATACGTCTGAAACAAATGAAACATTTAGAACATACACTTGCAACATAACCATTGCAACATATGCAACGTCTAGATAAAGCACTTTCAATATACGTCTAAAATAGATGAAATATTTTAAACAAACTTTTACAACTTACGTGTAAAGCCATTGCAACATATGCAAAATCCGGATCAACCTTTGCAACATCCATATAAAACACTCCCTAAAAAACATCCATATAAAACGCTTGCAATATACATCTGAAACATGTGAAACACCTAGAACATACATTTGCAACACATGTTTTCAGCGCAACATTACGCAGGCGGCATGACGAACTGACGCGGTGGAGGCGGCCGCGACAGCGGATGGCGGCGCCCCGGCACGATGGAGGCGCTCTGACGTGGTGGAGGCGGCTGCGGAGGCGGACGGCACGGGCAGATGGTTACGACCGTTGAAGTCAGGGCACGCGTGAATCCGCGCGGGCGAGGGTGTGCGGCGCGAGCGGGAGCTAGCAGCGGGTGGGAGTGATGGAGCGAGGTGTCCGAACGCAGCCATATAATATACAGGGGTGGGTGCTCATTGACGATGAAAGGGCAGCTGGCTCCCTGAACCAGCCATACTACCGCACCCGGAAATGAAGTACATCACCGTTAGCGACTGCCTCAACAGGTTGCTTCCCCCTCCCGAGAGGTTCCTCTTCCTCTCCACGGCCTTTCCAGGGTCACAAGTGCGTGCTGACGTCGCTGGCAGCGTTGTGCTGCATACTTCTATGCATATTATATGTATCAATGTATGTTATGTGGTTGATCTAGTCATGCAGATGACCCAGCCAACGAAGATGAAGACTGAGCGACCGGCGGCCAGCAGCGGCCTGGCGTGAACTGAACAACATCCCAGAGGATTTCCCAAGAACACTTGTTTACCTGGCAGTTTTCTTTTGGCAGTTATCTTGCAAACTTTGCGTTGTTCATTGACGAATTTGGTCACCATCTGTGGCTATGTTCCACGAGACCTTGTCTACTACATCAATCAAGTACAGTAGGTACCTGTTTCTGGATGACGAAACTTACTTTTTCTCCCCATCTGTTTCTGGATGACGAAACTTACTGTGTTTCCATTATCATGGGGAGCCATGGAGGGGCCACGTTTTGAAGGGAAAAAAAAGTTGTCAAACGCAGAGCAAATACTCTGCGTTTCACTTTTGATGTTTGATGTTTATGACACAGTGGGTCAAACATTCTGCGTTTAAAATTTAGCATTCTGTTCTGGTTTGATACAAAAAACAACCGCCAACTTCACCCGTCCAACTTCCAACCAAACAACTTGCTGAGAGCATAGAGCTTATTGTTTTAGGGCCCAGATATGTATGCAGTAACTAAACGAAATAATTTATCTGAGGACACCGAAACTCGCTATACATGCATATGAGGAAGCAATCTAAGCACAATATCGAATTAAACAGTGAGCCCAGAGTCAGAAACAGGAGTGAATATTCGTCTACCTCTAGATATGAATGAAGTATTACACTTGGTATTTAGCACATCAAATATCATCATCCACCGTATCTTGTTCCCCTGCCAAGTTCCTACTGGGGTAGGTTCAGAATCAGTCTTTTGAGGAACTGGTGCTCCCGACACTCTTCTTCCCACCATATTTCTGGCATCACAATTGGGGCAAACCATGAGAAATGAAAAAACAGACACTTTACCAAATACGTACATAATATTGTGTGGCAACTACACAAGCATTTCTTTAACATCACAGTATACGGGTAAAATTGATCCATGGACCACATCTAATGGCGTTTAATGAACGCAAACCTTATTAATAGACAGAAAAAAACACTGTCTATATGCCAGTGTTATCAGGTCATCTGATTAATTGCGATGAGTTGTCCTAGTTGGTATCCTGGACTCGAATAGGGTCTAAGACTCAATTAGGCCAATTAGTTTTCTGGTCATCTGATTAGTCATGGATTAATCACAATTAGTCGGACAACCAGAAACAGAATGGAATTGCTGGGCAGCTGAGAACATGGGCTGCATCTGGGATGGCTTAGGTTACTTGGGCTCATGTTTTTCAGCCCAATTTGCAACCCTACATGCAGCCACCACCCTAGAGTTATCTTCATGCTTGATTTGTACTCTAGAACATATAGTATATTAGTATATATTTGGTATATTAGTCCTGATATATATATATAGTACTAGGGAATGACTAGAGCCAACTAGTCATCCTGGTCAACGACTAATCGCGACTTGTCACCTAGTCGGTCCCATGGCGACTAGGATTGACAATACGACTTGATAACTTTGGTCTACGTGTTACTTAGACAAGCAACTCCTATGATACCCACAGCAATTGGCGTCAAGCATATGACCATTCAGTGAATAAACAAAAATCAATGAGTGAGTTTAGTGGTAGGTACTGACCTGCTTCCCGATACTGAAAGGCACATATTTGTATTTGATCATATGCACAATCTGGCGCTTCATTGTAAGGACAAAGAGAACAACCCAGTAGCAGAGAAGTATAGGCCAGAAGACAGGAACGTCAAACACTGAGAAGAACGTCATCACAAAAGCTATAACAAAAGCTTTTGTGATTGCATACCTGAAAGATAAGGAAATAGATGTTAGGCGATATATTGGGCAGGAGCCGCAGGAAAGATCTTCTGTACTCAGAATGAAAAGAACTAATATAGAAAATACTAGAAACAAATGAGGAACCACTAGGGATGCAAGTTTTGCTTTCACCCAAAACCCATTTGATTGAACTAATATGGATTTCAAAGAAAAGCAAATGGGATAGAAATGAACTAGCTGGCCCAGAAGGATAAAATTATAAGCATTGAATACATAGAAAGCAGTCAAAACACTTTGTATGCTGCATTTTGTATGCATGCTATCAATAGCATTCTCACAATAAAACCTGGCAGCCGGTAACGATTTAATCAACACAACTGGTGAACTATCAACAAAAGACTGAACCCCTAACAGAAAACTCCTGATGTAAATTTCAGAAGGCAATGATAAATTCAGAAAGAAACCATCAGTATCTGGCTACCTGAACTCTTTCACCAAAGTGGAAACACTTCAAACTTGGGCTAAAACAAATTTTACCTTAATAGCTCACAGCAATATAAATGATACAAACTATGTCGGGTAATGATGTAAGTCGTATTTTTAGCTGCGATATCAGTAAATCCATCCCGTGCACGCTTAGCTATAGAGATCTCCACAGAACCACCCTCGGAAAATGATATTGCAGAGAAATGTCACAAAATACAACTTAAAACCCACTAGAACAAGCACATGGGTAGTGCATAGACAAAAGGTCAGACCGCTGAGCAATAGTAACTAGGCAATGCAGACTTTTGAATGTGCGATGATCAGGACTCTTTGAATGTGCGATGATCAGGACTCTGACAAGCTATTGTGTGACTGCCATTCGGAAGAACAGAAGCTATATTACACATTTAGCAGCTCACTAATAATGATGACCCGGACATATTCTTAACGAGGAAAGAGAGATTTGCAAGAATCACCAAAACTTTTCAAAAAGTTGACTAGTCCAGAGAGACACCATTAAAAATACATGTATTTCAACCAAAATGAAGGATGAAGGCCCCTGAGTCCCATTATATTTTTTTGATGGAACTACATCAGAGGCATTTATGTTGCCTACATCATCCACTGGAATCACAAAACATATATGGTGCAATTGAAGGGACACAACATGCCTTGAGTGGGTTCATCCAGGGATTTGGCTGTGGTTTGGCAGATAATTGACAGGCGACACAGCTTGGTTGCGTCGGTGGAGGATATGTAAATCAGGAGTTCAGCATTAATTCGCACATATCGACAATAATTTTGTACCTAAGGTCATGGCACGCTGATTTGGAATTAAACAACCTTAGTCAGGTGACACGCGAGCTTCGTGACACAGAAATCTAACACAAGTTTGTGATTTTGTAGCCATCTTATTTTCTCGCTAAAGAAATAAATGGAAAGATCCTGTACTTTGACATTAGTCTACCAGCTGGAAGTTTTCACTAGCTAGTTTATGATCGATCAGAACAGAATGGACTGCACAACTGTTATGCTTCCTATTGATGATGGATTCATGGACACAACCACGTGAACATCAGCTTGCCACGGTTGGTAGACCTGTGTGCAAAATTTACAACTTACTGCGGCCTGAGGGGAGGGTCAGGAGTAGCTGAGCAACTGTACCTCGAAAGTGAAGACAGATTCGTAACCGGTTTCCGAAATGCAAACTGGCTTGGCTCTGTCTGGATTATGAGTAGTCGTGCCTAGCTATACGGAGAAGATAGGACGGCGAGAACTGAACTAGCGAGGCCGATCCGATCGGCCCCTCCCATCCAGTAAGTAAATACATACAAGCATAACACGGGAGCGAATCACCCCAGCCGACCGGAGATACTAAGAAGGCCAGACGGATCTGGCGAGGCGGAGAGACAGATCTGGGGGCGAGGACAAGAGATCAGACCAGAACTTGAACTCGGGGAGGCGCCTGATGAAGGGCTTGAACTCGTCAGAGCCCCGGGTGGGCAGCGCCGGCCCCTCGGCGGCGGCGGAGGGGTCGAGCTCGGGGTCGACCATGGGGGAGAGGAAACCGATGAGGAGGTTGAGGAGGTAGATCCCGAGCCCGTAGGTGACGATGTAGAAGCCCTGCACCATGTAGACCCGCAGCGCGTAGATGGCCGCGGCGGCGAGCGTGCCGAGCCACCGCCCCGTGGCGTGAGGCGTCGAGCGGTCCAGGTAGTACTGGAACGCCCGCGACGCGTCGCTCCGCCACTTGGCCGCCGCGGCCACGGCACCGCCGGCGCCAGCGCCGGACGAGTCGCCGCCCTCCATAGGATCGGATCGGGGCGGGGGTGGGGGGTGGAACCCTGGCCTGGGTCAAGAGGCGAGGGGAGAGGTTGGGGACGAGGTGGAGACGTGCCGTTTACTTGCAGCTCGGCGCCCGCTGGGTTCTCAAGGGCTCAAGGCTGGGAACGGGACGGGCGTCGCGTCACCGTTGGTCCGTTGCCTTGCCATGGCATATCCGTCCTTCGTCGATTCAGGATTCTTTCTCTGCTCGATGGTCTCCTGCTGCCTCACCAACAAAAAGAAGTCGTATCATGTTTTACTGCCTGCGTTCTAATAAAAAAATACTGCTCCCACTCTCCGAAGAACTAAATAATTTTAAATCTAACCAAATTTATAAAAACATTAATACCTATGTTTTCTAATACCAAATAAGTATTCTATTAGCTTAATTATGAAATGTATTTTTTATTATAAATTTGTTAAGAGAAATAAATATTGGTACTATTTTTTGTAAACTTGGTTAATTTTCTTAAAAGATAACTTGGTTCAATCATATAATTGTACTAGATAAATGCCCGTGCGTTCCACGAAAAAAAAAATATAATATCATGACAACGGTAGTTTGAGCATGTAACAAAAAGCTTTTTCAATTTAAAACTAGATATATGCGCGTTGCACCGGGGTCACGAATTATGCCTATGACGACACACGTGGCTTGCGACTTAGACAAACATGTTAAGAAATCTACAAATCTAATTACAATAAAAAAAATACAAAGCCCTTTACCTTTTGATGTCATCAAAAATTATACCCAATATTCTTTTTTAGATAAATGAATTTTTATTTCAGTTTCTGCAAGAGTTTTGCACTCAACCATTTACCCATTATTCTATTCCATTGAAAAGTAAGCGTTTTCTTCAGTGTTATGAACTTTAATGTTGCGTCCCTTAGACCCTTACATTACATGCCATGTTCAGCTAATGTTCATTGGCTGTGATGCAAAAAGTCAAGTTTGCCCTTATATGCCTTTTTTTCAAGCAGGATTGATGCATTTGATAATGTTGAAATTCCATTCTGCTTATTTGTACTTATCTGCTCGTATGTTTTTGCGGCTGGCCGTTGGGAGCAGTGACAGTGAGCGAGACAGAGGGTTCGACATGGCGTGTAGGAGTCAGGCCTCGCTTCATTGTGCGCCCATGTCGGCATGGCATGTTGGGTGCCAGGCCGGCCGCCGCCGGGGCAAGGTGCGTTTATGTAGTCGCAAGCTCGCCGCAGCTACGTCGTGTGGGCGTGTGGCACACCAGTGGTTCGAGAGTTGCACGTCGGACATGCGGGACTTTGGCACGAGCAGCAGCCACTACCGGCCTACGAGGGCAGTAGGCAGATTCGATTCGAGCACGGCACCATCCTCGTCGCCGGCTGGAGACACCACTCCGAGCTCTGCAGATTCGACGGCTGTTTCCTCGGTCGACGCGGCCGGCCTCAGGGACGACAGCTGCGAGACGACGAGGACGCGAGTGGGCCTGGACGCCAGACGCGGCCGCGCATGCGTCGACCTTGCCGGAAGCTCCACCGTTTGTGCTCCCTCTCGAACGGCAGCCGCAACGGAGGCGATCGCGATCCAGGGCATGCAGCAGAGGGCGAGGACGTGAATCGGACGAGGTCGGGCATATATTTTTTTAAATGATCAAGTTTGTCACGGGTATTTATCTAGATATTTATCCGTGAGTTGCATGGGCCACGACTTTTTTTCACACCTACAACAACAGACTTGATTATTTTTAGAAAATAATAAAAGGAAATAAATGATTCTGTATTAGGAACTCTAAACTTTTTTTTTAAAATATACTCAGGTCTTCTCTATTTTTCCTTTGCTCTTTCTTCATTTATCAATGGGACCTTCATGTTCTATTTGAGTGTTCCAATTTCGCAGGACCTATAGTTTATCGAAGAGGTGCAAATATTGAGGTGATGGAAGGTCGAAAGGATTATTTGTATTATGAGTAAATTATTTCATTACTCATAAATTTTAGAAACTATGTATTCTACCAGGCCGCACACAACAACAGTCTACATACGCCAATGTACAATCCATCCACAAATGTAAGCACTCTCGTTGTATTTAGATATGTCCATGAATCTAAGCCAACCCGTTCGGTACAGCTTGCTGCTGTTGCTTTCAGTTGTTGTTGCAGTTCTTGCTTTTCGAGCGTTCCAGGCATTTTTGGTTGGTGGCCTAGCTCAAAAAAAATAGATTTTTAAGGGCATGTTTGGATCCACCCCTCTAAACTTTAGACATATAAATTTTAGAGCTAAAGTTTTCATATAGACGATTTAAAGTTAGCTCTAAACTTTAGCCAACTCATATTAGAGCTTTAGAGCTCAAAATTGAGCTAAAATGCTCCAGAGTTTTTAAATGTTTAGAGGAAGGGATACAAATGACATGTTCGCTTGTCTTATAATCCGTACATTTCAACTTATTTTTTCAATCGAAACAACGTTTTTCTCTCACGACAAATGCCGGAATAATATTTCAATTTATTTTTCAGCGAAACAAACGGGCCCAAACAAATCATCCTATTAGATCCTATTGTTTCCATCCATCGTCATTTATTTTGAAAGGCAACGGGGGGCGTCATCATTTTATTACTTTATTAATTATTATTATTTGCGGCATTGATTAACCGGATGGGACAATTGGCAAAAAAAAAAATGTCGGCAGATACACGCGCACCTAAATACCCGAGAATCCCCCACGCACGCGCTTGGAGAAGCTGTCCCACTTGCACGTGGGCCCGCCTGGGTTGCATGGTTTGCACGCAGATGCGCGTGGGCGATACCTTTTACTTTCTGGGATTCGATTTCCTTATTTTTTCGGTTCGGACGCGTGGGGCGAGCGCAGCGATGGGTCCGATGATGACAGTACTGGTAATTTCGCGCGGGAATTTCCACCGATACCGCTACTCCACTCGGAGTTTGAGGCGCGCACACGATTTTTTCATTGGACGAGATTTGATTTCGACAGAGAGAGTATACTAGACTAGATTTGATTTCGACAGAGAGAGTATACAACGAAGGGACTACGACTAAAAAACGAACGCACTTTCATCACTTTATATAATAGTTTATCAAATATTTTTTATTTGACCTTCAAAAGTTATATGGCTAAATTTGTCTTCAAAATAACGTGACAATTTTTTAGCCTTCAGCCAAGTCAAGGATCACTACAGCCAAGAATTACCAAGAACGCCTTCTAGGCTTTCAACCTACTCTGGCGGTGGCACCCAGAGTCCACCGGGAAAATTCCAAATCGACATGAATCTCTCCATCCGTTCGAGGTCTCTGTCTCTTCTCTTCGCCCGCTAGGGTTTAGGGAGTTGTTGGTACCTCTCACGGCGGATCAAACGGCGAAGACGGTGGGGGGAGGGAGAGACGAGGAGGTGAAGGAGCCGAGTCTAGAGGATCGCTTGGAAGGGCTTAACTTGCAGGGGAGAGGAGAATCTACACTTCTCTGAGGAGTTTGAAGAGCTCATCAAGGATGTGTGTTGTCTTGCCCTTCTTAGGGTTCATACTACGAAGCCTTTCAGCCATGCAGCTTTACACTAATATTTATACTAATAGAATAACTTATTCTATGACCACCTTAATTTTTACGATAATATTTGTACTAATTTACGATAAAGTAAATACATATTTACGATACATGTGTTACTACAACTCATGGTTATATTTACTATGACGTTATAGTAAATCACTTAGAACATGTTTGTTCCTATGAATTATTGAAACCAATATCTAAAAAATATTTTTTTATTTTGTTATTAGATTACTTTCCAGTTCCTCTTAATTTTTGGGAATCAAACAGGACCTTAGGTGATACTAGTCATTATGATAATTCAAAGGAGCTATAGAATAAGTTATTCTATGACCGGCTATAGATAAGTACTTATTATATATATGTATGAGTGTTTACGTGTGTTACTCATACATGTGCGTATACTCACTCCTATGGATGCGCAAAATAGACCCTACTCATATGAGCATGTTCGAGAGATTAAGATAGAACCGGCAACATATGAGCATCTTCGAGAGATTAAGACAAAACTAGCAGATTTCTAGATTGACAAAGTCATCATATAGCACCTCGTTGTCGATGGACACGTTCCCTACTATAACAATATTGTTCAATTCTAAAATAAATTTGGCCCTTATAAAAAAGAAAGAAGTGTAGTAGAAGAGAGTTGACCGGAGGCCAGGTAGGACTAGAGAAACGTGATATATAATTGCTCCGACGACGACAAGTTTTTGTGGTATTTGTTTTGTACTACCGACGTCAAGCAAACTTAACCGGAGAAGCAATGTTTTCAAACTTTAATTTGATGCCACAAGTTACGCATGTACTACTTGGTATAAATAAATAGGAGTAAAGACTAAGGTTTTGTTTAGTTCCCTCCTAAAATGCCAAAATTTTCAAAATTCCTCGTCACATCGAATCTTTTGAGACGTATGCATGAAGCATTAAATATAAATAAAAAATAAAACTAATTATACATTTTAGACGAAATCCACGAGACGAATCTTTTAAGTCTAATTAGATTATGATTGAACACTAATTATCAAATAATAACAACGAAAACGCTATAGTGTCGTTTTGCCAAAAATTTCGGCAACCAAACTAGCCCTAAAGAGGATGGATATGCTAGAGGGACGGGGCGATGCCTCCTGCAGTGTGACGAGCATTTTGCACGCCGTCATATCATTTTAACGCCGGACACTATTTAACTTTCCTCACGTACGTAGTGAACGCGTGTGTTCATATATTAATTAGATCAATGTACAAGGACACATCTCCATACAAACTGTTCAACATCTAGCGTGTGTTTTATACATTGACTAGATCAGAAGGTACACGGACACATCGCCATATAAGTTCAATAGATGTTGATCCCACAATTGATTTAAACTTAAAGATCCGGGCTTTAGGCGGTTGGTCAGGTTATTTTGGTAGAAAATGTCTACTTAAATTTGAGACACCGGTTCAACCACTATGCCAAAATCTTTATCATTGCCGGGTCGAGAGGCCTAATCACTGTCGGTTTGGTGTTTTAGCGTGGAGGAGGGGTGATGATCACCTTCATCACCGGCGGTTTTAAATCGAAAACAAAAAACGGTCACGCCCGCCACTCCTGCTAGTCGCGCCCTCAAACCCCACTCCCTTGCTATTGGCTGGCCACGTCCTCGTGCTCCAGACGCCGTCGGTAGATCCATTGCCCATGCCCTCACTCGCCTCGACGCAGATATATGCCGTAGGAACGCCGCCTGCTTGCCATTGTCACCGTCGCTGCCACTGCCATAGGGCCTCCTCTGCCCCACCGAGGGAGATGCCCGTCGTACCGGGGAAGGGTGCCTGCGCTAGGGCCGGCACGCCCGTGCGGAGGCAGGCGTGGCTGTGGTAAGGGCTAACATGCCCATGCTGAGGGCCACAGTGCCAATGTCAAGCCACGCCGTAGCAGGAGTTGGCATGCCCATGTCGAGGGAGTCATCTTGCCGGCTGGCCGCCGTATGCCCCGAATTTTTTACTATTTGACCCTTTTTTCGAAAGTTTCTCACAAATAGATCCCTGGCGGAAAGAATTTCGGAAATAGACCCTTGGCTCGGCGCCAGAGTCACTGACGCCGAGCCGGGCTCGGGAAATGGCTGCCGGGGGCTCGGCACCAGTGCCGAGCTCCGAGGCACGGGAAATAGATCTTGGGGCTCGAAGCAGAGTGATCTGGCGCCGAGCCTCCTAAATATCTGCCGCCCACCTTTCTTCTTCTCCATCCATCCCCTAGCTGCCCCCGCCTTGCCATGGCTCACCGCCCTGCCCGTGCGTGCCGTGCCACCACGCCCACCGCGCCCGCCGCGCGCCCTTGCGCCTGTGTTTTTTTGCAAAAGACGTGTTCAAATTTAAATCGTCCAGTATCATTAAGTGGAATATTAAGACCATTGATAATGAAAACAACCACATAATGAAAAGTTCGATACTATGCCACATTACACAACATATTAATACAACTACGTGCCGACAGTAGACATAGGGGCAAATGCACTTCTAAATTCTCAGTCTGAAACGTACCGAGTAAGCAACTCATCATCCGAGTACCAGTCCTCTACTACAACCCTGTTGCTGTGGCTAGGCTCAACTGCGTTGCTCTGACCTGCTTGTCGCTTGTAGTAAGCGGCCTCCACTTCATCTATGGCCGCTGCGGCCTGAGTGAAGAACGCGTCGTCATCCTCCTCTGCCTGTAAGCCTGCCTCTACTAGAGCGATGAGCTCGCTCAGTCTGCCAGTGTCGTCGTCAGCCTCCTGCGCCTGAATGCCCGCCTCTGCTAGAGCGATGAGCTCGCTCAGTCTGCCAGTGTCGTCCTCAGTCTCCTGCGCCTATATGCCTGCCTCTGCTAGAGCAATGAGCTCACTCAGTCTGCCTGTGTCGTCCTCATCCTCGTCTCCGTCATCACACAACACAATCGATGACTGAACGGTGCGACCAGCTCGTGATCTATGGCCATCTAACTTCTTCTCCTCATACCTTGCACGAGCCACCTCTGCAGCATGTTCCCCGCTGCAACCAATTCCTTCATATATAAAATGCAATCAGTTAGCAACGCGATTATATTACATTTAAAACCAGGCAATGAAAAAAGGTTTTCAAGCACTCATTGGCACATAATGTAGCAACATGCTCGTTCAAGACCTGCATCTGTACTCTTGTCTCCTCCCTTACCTCATTCCTTGCCCTCTCCTCCTCTAACGTCATCCGCCTCTCCAATCCTCATTTGTTAAGACCAACATCGATCGGGTTACAAATACCGCGCTGTCTAGCAAACTCACGCATCTTTTCTTTGTGATGTTTAACGAATAGGTTGACGTAGTCAGGTCCATATCCCCTCTTCCGTGCAATTAGTTGCCTCTTCTTCAGTTCATCCAAGAACTTAACTTGACCATCATAACATTCCCAACTGCATTTCCTTGTGCTCTGTTCAAAAGAAATATTATATCATATATGTTTTAGCAAAACAAACAAAATACGATTTCATGTTTACCAGGAAAATAACGAACCTCATCATACTCAATCATATGGCCGCAATAATGGCCTATTCTAAGCTCCGAAGGGACTAGGCCATAGTTGGATTTTATACCACATTCGCATATGACAGGAGGTGCTTTGTAGATTACCCGTTCTTTCTTCTTTTCCTTAACCCTCCGTGGTTCTTCCGGCCATTGGTTCTTAGGACCATACAACCACTCCTTGAAACAACACTTCACCATTGAATACACCTAAATAATGAGACATTAGTACATGAACACATATAGCTCAAGATTTTAACATACACTTTGCACTTACTTCATGCTTGTTTGGACACACAAACTCCAACGTATTCTCAGGGTTTATCACAGCTCGATCTCCGTAATCGCACAGAGGAGGTTCCTCGAGTCATCTAACTACGGCTAGATGCTTCTCCTTAGCTGTCATTGCCGGAGGGTTAGGGGGGGTGGAACCCACCACTTGAAGTGCTCACGTGGATGTCTCCCTCTAAACCAATCGTCGAAAAAGAGATACCTAGGATCAAACTTGTCTGCACCATCGATCCACTGAAAGAAAAAACACCTCTCATGATCCTACACAACGAGATTCCAACAAAATATTAGTACCATACTTAAACAAATAAAGAAAAAGGATAGTACAAACAATTTCTTACATTAAACCGACTACATGTGTAGAAGCAACGCGTGGCTGTGTCCTGATGTTTCGATTAAAAAATATGGGCCAAGAAACCACAGTCATAGTTAGGGATAGGAAGGTCAGGAGGGACGGGGCATCTTTGCTAGACGCGTCGGGGTATAATTCTTGAGGACGACCCCGTTTTTGCCAAAACTCCTCCCGAAACATTTCTTGCATCTAACAAAACGGATGTAATTTAACAAACATAAATAAAAACATCACAAAAAATATCAATGAGAACCATAACTATAATACAACCAATTTCGTTCTAAGAACCAAAAGCAGTTAACATTATACCCTAAACCTAGGGTTTCTCATTTCATCCACAACAATGAACCCATAACATAACTACATACGGCTTGGTTTGCTAGCTTTTTCCACGCCTTGGAATCAACCTACGGTTGTATAATACATATATTGAGGGATACAATGAAACCCTAAGTGATGACGATTCTTAGGTTCAAAAATCCGACTAATATGTACCGAATCGATACGAAAAAAACAAGGAGGTGAGCGAGTATACCTTGCTCTTGAAGATCTACGGATCAAATCAAGGTTTTCAAGGTCCAATATGTCGATTCGTGAGGTAGGGTGAAGTGGCGAGAAAAACCGAGAGGGAGGAGAAAGAAGAGGAAGAACGCTCGGGGAAGAAGGGTGGGCTGGGTTAAATGCAGGTGGCTCGGTGCCATTCACTCTGGTGCCGAGCCCCCTGGCAGGCCATTTCCCCGTGCCCAGGAGCTCGGCGCCAGTGACCGTGGCGCCGAGCCAATGGTCCATTTCCGGAATTCTTTCCACCAGGGGTCTATTTGTGAGAAACTTTCGAAAAAAGGGCCAAATAGTAAAAAATTCGGCCGTATGCCAAGGGCTGCTATGTCGAGGGCAGGAGCAGCCGCGACAGGGGGTTATGCTCCACCGAGCATCCACTATGCGCCAAGAGGGGGGCCGCACTGGGACGGAGAGAGAGAGAGAGAGAGAGAGAGAGAGAGAGAGAGAGAGAGAGAGAGAGAGAGGAGGAGGAGGAGGAGGAGGAATGGATAGAGCATGGGAGAGAGGGGAAGAGGACATATAGTTTGGATGTCAACAACCTTATTAATCCAGTGAGGATCCAAATTTCGGGTCCTGGAGGGATCCATTATGAACTAGTGGTCAAAATTTTTATCACCAACGGTATCTAGAGAACCAGCATGAAAAAAGGTGCTACAAAACTATTTCTGTAATTGTGAGCACACGGATTACGTAGTAGAATGTAGTATTTCTCATGGATAAGAACTAATCACTCCATTTGTAAATATGTGGTGTTTAGGATAAGCAATTCATTTCTATAAATTCAAATTCCACAACATAGTAGTATATATAAAAATTATACATCCTTGTATGTGCGTGTATATGTATAACAAACTTTAGTATTATTTAGGCACAAGTTATGGATCTTGCTACTAATTTTAGAAATTATTAAGGCCTTGTTTGGATGCATATTTATCCACATCAATCAAAGTGTGTTGGAGTGGGTTATGGTGAAATTTAAACTAAATTCCACCATAACCTACTCCAACCCACATAGATTGAGATTGATATATGTGCATCCAAATAAACCATAAGGGCTTTGTTTGGATACCCATATATCCACCTCAATCCATGATTGTTGGAGTGATTTGGTGTGAAATTTAGTTTAAATAATTTCATATCAAACCACTCTAACATATATGATATGCATATATAGGCATCAAAACAAGGTGTAAAGAGGACTTAGATACACGTGGGAAGCTGCTAGCAGTGTTGTTTCTTCTCCAAGACAAGGAAGACGTTGGTGATGTCCTCCTTGTTTTTGGTGGCCTTGTTGTTGCGATAGTACGCCTCCAGCAGGAGGGGGTACCTGCAGAAGAGTTCCTCCATGGCGGCACGACCGAAGTGCATCTGCAGCGTGGGCTCTAGGGCCGCCCTCACATAGCTTGCGGTCTCCACTGCTAGCCACCGCGGTAAGTCTTCATCGTCTTCGTCTTTAGTAGGGTGACGAGAAACTCCTAGGAATGAGTACCCAAACAACCGCATGGTTGTGACGGTGAAGGAGCCTTCCATGGAAATCACGTCAAGGAGATCGTCGGGGCAGGGGGTGTAGTAGGGCAAGTTGAAAGCGTGGACTTGTTCCTCGTCGATGAGTCCGGCGGCGGCCATGTCCATTAGGGCGTCGGCGAGGGCGTCCCAGAGGTAGCAGTCGTGCGTGGTGGGGCAGGCGGTCCTCCTGGCGAAGAAGGAGAGGAGCAGGAGGCCGCGGGGCCTCATGTCCGCAGCGCGGCAACAGAGGAATGCGGAGAAGTCAGTCTCGAACTGCGCTCGGTACGCCTCCAGCACCGCCGCAGGGTTGCCCGCCGACGGCGACAAGTACAGACGTCCCCTGTTCAGATGCTCACCGCTGCTCACCGTCTTCTTCATCGTGGGCGCCTGCGTGCATGCATGCATACGTCGTACAAAAATAGCTAGGATTTGGCATGCAGGACAGCAGGGTTTACCGGCCTTACCTTTGAGAGGTAGTGTAGGCTGCTACAGGAGACGACGTAGTCCAGGCTTGCATCCGGGAAGATGCGGCCGTAGAAGGACCCCGGCCAGGCCGACACGAGGCAGCCGCTGCCTAAGAGAGGTGACGACGGCAGCAGCCGGAAGACGGCGTTGAAGTCGTTGTTCGGGAGGTCGTTCAGGAAGACGTGCAGCTCGGGCACCTCCCCGTCGTCGTCGGCCGTGATCTTCGCCGCCGCCAGCACGGCCTCGACGGCGTCGGACACCAAGAACAGCGCGTTGGGCCCCGTGGCGCAGCCCAGGTCCGCGATGGCCATGGAGGCGGGGCAGCCGCGGGCGCGGACGCGCGGTACAGCGCCGCCGCCATGTCCTGCGTCGCCTTCTTCGTCTCCGTTGCGATTGCCCTCTGCAAACTGGAGTTGTTAGCGTAGCTCATCTTTCCGATCTCGACTGCTGTTCATGCATACCACCGCTGGCAACCTTGCCGCCGGAGGAAGCCTCTCATGCTCCATCCTTCTTCTTGTTTTTTAATTTGATGGAAAACTACTGGCCTACTGTCTTCTCTTGGAAATATATCTAATCACACTCTCTTTGTGATGAATCGGCGTAGGGAGTGGCTAACAGATTTATAGGCAGCAATAATGGGCCGGGATCCAAACTGAATCCACAAGCTACAGCTAGCATGTCCAGATGGATGAAATGTTTAATCCATCAGCCCCTATATATCCGTTTCAGCAATTTGTTCAAAACAAACTAATAAATGGCTAAGTTTGGAGGCATATGGTTTTTTTTTTGAACCTTGGCAAATTCATTACTCAACTGATGAGTCATCAGAAACGATTACAAGAACATCTTCAGGGACAGAACTTGTGATGATGAGTTCCTCTTCCTCCCTTCGATGCAGCCATAACCCAGAGCAACCATAGCATGTGCTGCCCTATTGCCGACTATACTAAGAAAATTACAATCAAATTCAATAAAATTCACACGAGCTAAAAACTTGAGCTCTTCAACCAGCGCACCTTCAGGCATTGCATAAAAATGTCCGGCCTCATTGCTTGCTTGACCATCAGAGCATCCGTTTCTAGAATGAGTTTGCCAATACCCAAATTTGCCACCGCCTGAACACCCTGCAGGTAGGATATCAACTCGGCTTGGAAAACACGAAGAACATGATTCAGTTTCCCTCTTCCCGTCAGCACAACATCTCCATCGTGATCTCAGATCAGAAAGCCCCAGCTCCCAGACATATTTTCAGCTTTGAATGAAGCATCGCAATTCCGTTTCAGCACTCCATTAGGGGGTTTGGACCATTTGACAGTATGAACTGCTCTCTGGGAACTTAACCCTGGGAATACAACCCACAACGAGATTTCTCCACCTGCTGAGGAGATATCTCCGCATGGGGTAAACTCCCTATTGCTATTTGGATGTTTCTCCAGGGAGATAATCACGTATTGGTTTCTAACTACTGGCTTGGACAAATCTAGGGCGATATGATACACATGTTTGATAAAAAAATACATAAAATGCAAGTGACGTAAGAAAATGAGTAACACAAGAAAACATGCATGTATCAATCGAATGATAAATTATTCGAGATACAGTCCAATTCTTCATGCAAAATTTAATTCAAGTAGCACCAAATGTCCAACCAAGCTAATCAATTCATCACCACATCAGATAGCCATCTCCATCCACAAATCAAGACGGATAATGAAAAATAAAACAGGATATTAATTTATTGACAAGGAACTTTGGCACTAGAATACACTACTAAAAAGATTTTGGGAAAAGGCCAGGATTAACATAGGCGAGCGCAACATGGTGTCACCTCTGTTAATGGTGGAGGCAGACGGGGAGGAACATTCGTCTTTGTTAATCTTTAACGGAGGCGATCGTCTTAAGGAGACCTCCTCGGTTAATGCTCCATAAAATGTTAACGGAGACGGGCATCCTTGGCAGATCGTCTCTGTTAATGCTCTATTTACTTAGCAGTCTTCTTAAGTCTTTGTTAACGCTCCTATGAATTGTTATGAGAGAGACAATCTTCTGAAAAAATAAGCCGAACAAGCAAAATTTAAGACTAGCGAACGAGGCTTTTATGGAGGCGGGATTCCAAAGGTGCCCAACTCTGTTAATTGGCCATTAATGAAGGTGGCTGTCTTAGGGTGCCCACCCCTCCATTGATGAGAGGCTATAAATACACCCAACCACACCATCTTCTTCCTCCACGAGCTCCTCCACTATTTTTGATGGAGTGAAGTGCTCTAAAACTCTGAAAAAGTCCAATTTTTAGGAAGAGGTTTTGCCCTTGGTTTCTTTGAGGGAAGTGGCTGCAGGAGGTTGGTATACGCTCTCATATCCTCTTTTTTCTCCTTTTGAAGTTTTTGTGGGTTTTATGGTGATCTAGATCTAGATTTATGATGGAGGAGAGAGGAAAAAATACTAGATGTACTTCATCAAGTTCGGTTTTATTTGTATCATGCATGTATATTTTTGCTTGTGTGAGAGAAAGAGAATATATAAAGCTCTATGTATCATTAATAATACCGTATTCATCTATATTTTTTTTGTTTGTGTGAGTCTCCAAGAGAAAATATACTAGTTATGCATATAAAGATATTATGTGATAAGATGATATATATAGGTAAATTTTTGTGAAAGTATTTTTCAAACAAATCTATACATATGGTTTTTACATCATCCAAATTCAAAACTTAAAAGTTTTCTGATTTATATTCCTCAATGTTTGACCCTCCAAACCATCCAAATTCCTTTTAGTATGGAGGCCCATATTATGCGTCTATAATATAATCAAATTTATTTATTTATTATGCATGCATATCTTGGTGCTAGCAGTGGTGGTTCTAAGTACATCGTATTCAGTTTGCAACAATACTATAACTGGGAAAGTAGAATTCAAATGAGACGGTGGAAACGAAATAGTACAAATCTGCAAAGCATTAACAGAGGCGACACAGCGGGGATGGCTGCCTCTGTTAAAGTTTAACGGGCGGGGATGACTGCCTCTGATAAAGTTTAACAGATGCGGATGCTCGGCTGCCTCTGTTAAAGTTTAACGGGCGGGGATGGCTGCCTCTGTTAAAGTTTAACAGATGCGGATGTTTTATGAGCAAGAACAACAAAGGATAATACTCGGATACGCCGGAGCTCGCGGTCTGTTTACGAGAAACTAGTAAAGCATGACTATTAATTTAGATGTGAAAGTAAAAAAGTAAATTGAACATGATAATAATAGATTTGTTTTGCGTCGATTATGCATTCTGTTCAATCGGTCATACACCTTTCTTATATAGGAAGCCTGCAGGTCTGGCTTGTTCGGTTGAAGAAGCGTTTAACTCCAAGACAAGACTCTATTACATAAATAAATCTTCAGCGGAGTAGATACGGATCGGCATGCACCACGTGTGAATCTACAAAACATTAACCGATCGAACTCCTCACTTCAACAGAATACACTTAATAATTAGTATCCTTAAGCACCATGGTCTTTTCCTTCTGTAAATCGTAGCTGGTGGACCCCATCTCTACATATATGTACGTGTAGTCACATAGACAAAGCCATCATATGTACTTATTCGATAATGCTTGGCCACGGGCGTCCCGAATGTGGCTCATCCTCATCCATTCGTCCGCTCTCTCTTCTCTCTCAAAAAAAAATATATCCACCGCGTTTATCCGCTAATCCGCCCGTCTCACGTGAGTGCGCGGACGCACATCTGCCACCCTACTCCACCATGTCACGACGTCTTCTGTGGCAGAACCGCCCGAAATAGCATGCTTCCGGAGGCGCTCGTCTTCCACTAGACGCTAAGCACCCCGAAAGCTAGCTACATCGGACGGTTCCGTCGAGCACACCCCAAGAGAGAACTTGAACAATTCACGTTTTTCATCCAGGATCCAATAATGAGAACGAATTTACAATACTTAGTCCATTTCATACGACAAGAGTTCTCGAAAATACATTATTACAATACCAAGTTCAGAGTGCGAAATTTAACAGCGGAATTGAAATAAACATCTAACGATAAATATACAAGGATCCGTCTATGCCCACCCGAAGAATCCTCCACACAACAGCCATTCCTTAAGCTGCACCTGCAACAGGGGTAAATAAACCCTGAGTACACAATATACTCGCCAGACTTACCCGACTAATAGGAATAATTTCCCGACTCCAAAGGATATGATAAACTTTATGGTTTGTTGGGTTTTCTTTTGCAAAAAGCATTACTAGTAGTGAATCCTTATGTATGTACTTTATTAGCAGTCATGATTAGTTTCTTAGCTAACCATTCTATGTAAGCACATGTTCTACTTTCAAGTAAGAGTTGAGTAATCAGATCCATTCATTCTCTTTCATCTTCTAGTTCTTACTATGGTACTAGATCGTAGCTTACCGTATCACACGACGATTCACGAACCAATGTATCTCAGCTGGGTACCCCGAAACACCCCCCTCTTATACCCTAGGCATAAATAGGACCAACCCACCACTCTCCTGTCAAGGGGTCTAGGTCCTCGTCCAAACTTGGACTCCAAGGCCCCACTCCTGAGTTCCGGACTCAGTATGGTGTTTAGACCTCCACCATTCCCGTCTTCAATTAGTCGGTCCAGAAAGAGCCAGAACCCACGGTAAGAGAGCAACGAGCCTTCCCACTCCCATAAACAAGTATGTGCTTAGAATAATAAGTCTGTGACCTGACTAGAATCCAATACAACGGACAGTCCTTAACCGACACGGATAGGAAAAACAGTGTAACCCAGCTATGCCCTGTTGGTCGCGGGACACAACCTCTTATACCCACCAATACCCGTACCATATCCCTATCCGATCTCTATTTTCTTTCACCATTTTATTATGAGAGTAATAATAATAATCACCTATTGTGAGTAATGGTATGTTACTCACGCTACCGATAGCCTAAGCATGGTAGCTACTCGACCTATGCTAGTAGGAATCATAGGTAGGGTTATCTATGCATGTAGTTTCAATACAAATTATGTAACGTAAATACACATCACACACACACATATATATATATATATATATCCAGTGATTATTCAAAATAAGGGTTATGCACCGGGGCTTGCCTTGGGCAGGCGGATTGTCAGCTAAGTCAGTCAGTGACGGCTTCGGGACCTCCTCCTGCACGAGGACCTCCTCCTCGTACTCCTCAATCACCTCCTCGTACTCCTGCTCTCCGGCGGTCACGAACTCCACCAACTCGTTCTCTACATGCATGCAATGATGATGCAACACTTAATATTTTGGCAACAACAACTCTTAAAA